GAATACGGGCCTAACACTGATTACATGTTACGTGTATTAGGCGGAATACAGGCCTAATACTGATTGCATGTTATGTGTATTGGACGGAATACGGGCCTATTACTGAATACATGTTATGTGTATTAGACGGAACACGGGCCTAACACTGATTACATGTTACGTGTATTAGGCGGGATACAGGCCTAATACTAAATGCATGTTACGTGTATTAGACGGAATACAGGCATAATACTGAATACATGTTACGTGTATTAGACGGAATACAGGCCTAATACTGAATGCATGTTACGTGTATTAGACGGAATACAGGCCTAATACTGAATGCATGTTACGTGTATTAGACGGAATACAGGCCTAATACTGAATGAATGTTACGTGTATTAGGCGGAATACAGACCTAATACTGAATGCATGTTACGTGTATTAGACGGAATACAGGCCTAATACTGAATGCATGTTACGTGTATTAGACGGAATACAGGCCTAATACTGAATGCATGTTACGTGTATTAGGCGGAATACAGATCTAATACTGAATGCATGTTACGTGTATTAGGCGGAATACAGACCTAATACTGAATACATGTTACGTGTATTAGACGGAATACGGGCCTAACACTGATTACATGTTACGTGTATTAGACAGAATACAGGTCTAATACTGAATGCATGTTACGTGTATTAGGCGGAATGCATGCCTAATACTGATTGCATGTTATGTGTATTGGACGGAATACGGGCCTATTACTGAATACATGTTACGAGTATTAGGCGGAATACAGGCCTAATACTGAATACATGTTATGTGTATTAGACGGAATACGGGCCTGACACTGATTACATGTTACGTGTATTAGGCGGAATACAGGCCTAATACTGAATGCATGTTACGTGTATTAGACGGAATACAGGCATAATACTGAATACATGTTACGTGTATTAGACGGAATACAGGCCTAATACTGAATGCATGTTACGTGTATTAGACGGAATACAGGCCTAATACTGAATGCATGTTACGTGTATTAGGCGGAATACAGACCTAATACTGAATGCATGTTACGTGTATTGGACGGAATACAGGCCTAATACTGAATGCATGTTACGTGTATTAGGCGGAATACAGACCTAATACTGAATGCATGTTACGTGTATTAGACGGAATACAGGCCTAATACTGAATGCATGTTACGAGTATTAGGCGGAATACAGGCCTAATACTGAATGCATGTTACGTGTATTAGACGGAATACAGGCATAGTACTTAATACATGTTATGTGTATTAGGCGGAATACAGGCCTAATACTGAATGCATGTTACGAGTATTAGGTGGAATACAGGCCTAATACTGAATGCATGTTACGTGTATTGGGCGGAATACAGGCCTAATACTGAATGCATGTTACGTGTATTAGACGGAATACAGGCATAATAGTGAATGCATGTTACGTGTATTAGACGGAATACATGCATAGTACTTAATACATGTTATGTGTATTAGGCGGAATACAGGCCTAATACTGATTGCATGTTATGTGAATTGAACGGAATACGGGCCTATTACTGAATACATGTTACGAGTATTAGGCGGAATACAGGCCTAATACTGAATGCTTGTTACGAGTATTAGGCGGAATACAGGCCTAATACTGAATGCATGTTACGAGTATTAGGCAGAATACAGGCCTAATACTGAATGCATGTTACGTGTATTAGGCGGAATACAGGCCTAATACTGATTGCATGTTATGTGAATTGGACGGAATACGGGCCTATTACTGAATACATGTTACGAGTATTAGGCGGAATACAGGCCTAATACTGAATGCTTGTTACGAGTATTAGGCGGAATACAGGCCTAATACTGAATGCATGTTACGAGTATTAGGCGGAATACAGGCCTAATACTGAATGCATGTTACGTATATTAGGCGGAATACAGGCCTAATACTGATTGCATGTTATGTGAATTGGACGGAATACGGGCCTATTACTGAATACATGTTACGAGTATTAGGCGGAATACAGGCCTAATACTGAATGCTTGTTACGAGTATTAGGCGGAATACAGGCCTAATACTGAATGCATGTTACGAGTATTAGGTGGAATACAGGCCTAATACTGATTACATGTTACGTGTATTAGACGCAATACAGGCCTAATACTGAATACATGTTACAAGTATTAGGCGGAATACAGGCCCAATACTGAATACATGTTACGTGTATTAGAAGCATTACATACTACGGGCCTAATATTGAATGCATTTACCTGCTTCAGACTGGGTATATATTACGGATGTAACTTGTGGCATATTACGGGTTTAGGACTGAATACATATTACGGTTCTAAATTAAATACATATTGCGATCACATGCTGAAAACATATTACGATATATATTGAATACACGTTACGGTCTCATTGAATACATATTACCTATTGCGGTTTTAAACTTGAATGCATATTACGATCAGATACTGAATACATAACGATCATTTTCTGAATATATATTACGATCCTAAACTGAATACAGATTACGATCCTGGACTGTGCTGATTGTATATTATAGTGTACATATAGACGGTTATAACTTAAGGCCTACTCATAATTTTTGAGAAAGTTGGTCATAAATCACATGACGCCCAACGTTAACAATATATGATATTTTCAGCAACCTACAATTTAAGATATGACACATTATCTCTGCCACAGGTACCTAAAAGCGTTATAATACTGACAAAATGGCCACTACCTTTGGGAACTAAAATACAACCTTCATTTTTCAATTAGACTGGTAACCCCCAACTTGTCTTAAGTCTTATTGCCCGGGAAACAATTTGTATTTCTGAGTAGCCTTCTACATTAAATCAGATTGTGACTGTCCTGCAATGAAAATGTATTAGGCGGCCCATGGAGCTAAAAAAAAGACGAAAGGCGAAGACTGCTGAATAATCAGTGTGACGGCAGCCGGCAGAAGTCATCGACATGAAAGGCGCGTAAACACAAAGGAATAATCAGCTTAAAACAAAAGACTCGAGTAGGATTAAAACCAGTTCAGTCTCTTTTTTAGCTCCATGGGCGGCCCTACAGCTACTAGATCACGAGTCTAAGTTTATTAAGATCATGTCGTTGCCGTTGTCAATATCTTAACGCGGCTATGTACATGTGAACAGTACAATACTGGAGTGACATCTCCGTCATGTTGTGCAGTAATACTCATGCGACGTCTCAGATGTCTTACAAAAAGAATACCGTCCATTTTTTAGACCATGTTCGGTCTGTTATAACAGCAAGTGCTGTTTTAGATTTACTTCGCCCCGACGTTTTTTAAACTTCTCGCTGTTTAATCGATTATAAATGTTTTGGCTTCTTCAATTGATCGAAATATGTGGTAGTGCATGATGACTGTGGTACAAGATGGTTAAGTATACAATGTTAAGTACATTTCACATTCATGGTAATATTATTATAATTAGTAACAACGACATTAGCATTGAATGGGATTTCCTAATGTATCTCTTGAATATTAGCATAATGAGGACCGTGCTATGAAATCCGCGACGCAAACAACTGGCGATTCCATGTGACCTGACAACTCCCGCCCCTTTACGAGCATCCTAACCATCTCCCCCCCTTCCATGCCCACATTCAGCAGTGTCCACGTAACACATGTACACATTTCAGCGCTTATAAATACTATTAAAAAAACTCCTGATTTTATATTGAATGAAAACGTTGCTACTTTAACTTATTATTTTTGAAATTGACCTTCCCCTATATTCTATATTTGAGTATGCCTCGTATTGACCTACATCTGAGTAAAGCCTCGACTTTGAATGCAGTATGAAATATTTGATGACTAAGGCTTTTCGATTTTTTATTTCCTCATAAAGTATTCGCAACAACTTGGTCCCCAATATTCAGGCGAAACATTGCTGCACGAAACCTCGCCTGCCAGGTAAAACTGACGCTCATGACGTCACATCAGTCATTTGCATATAAGCATTGTGCACGTCGTCAGGGAGTTCCTTTCCAAGGGTCTGAATGTTATATTACGCCGCAGATCAAAGTAAAATTGGCCTTCTACAAGTGCGACCACAATGTGTCGCCTGAAAGTAACCTGGTTTTGAAATAACCGTTGTTACGTGGTTGTTTTCACGTGGGTGCGTTTTTTGTTCAGTTCACAACTCTATTGTAAGTTTGCATGGATATAACGTCAGACTATTCAATAACGCGACCACAATTTGCATCAACAACATATCATTAAACGTGACATGTAATAGTTACGTTTTATAATCGATTAAGTCCCATAAACTCGTTTATGATGGGGTAGTTTGTGTCTTCTTGAATTCGGGGTAGTAAAATAACATCAAACAAAATGCTGTTAAACTGAGCTAACTGAATTACTAGGAATAGTTTTTTTGGGTTTTTTTGTTTGTTTTTTTACAAGGACATCATGCCGAATTTCACAAAAAGTCAAAACTATATTGTATTACATAACAATTGATATGAAGAAAAATACACATTTTCTTTTTAAACAGTATTACACATTAATGATCTTTGTGGTTGTTGCGCTTAGAATGCTCATTGAAATACACAATTTAATTCTAGGCGACGTTCACCAAAACATGTCAATTTCGACACAAAGACAATTGCATTTTAGTGAGATCATCGTCAGAAAATAGCTTCTAACTGAGAAGACACAGTTACATTCTGCCGAAAAATAGTGGTAAACAAGTCGGACGATACCAATATATTGTCGGGGTGAGAGGGGATGGGCGTATCTCGGGGCTTGTGTGGCAGCTACGATGGAAGAAGAAACAAAGCACGTTTACAAAATCCGCCTATGATTGGCTGTTCCAACAACACTCAGTGGCGAACAATGGAGACACGCCCCAATCGTGTCGAATACATGAATAAATCATTACTCAGCTGGGGGATTTCGTCAGCTGATAGAGTCAGCTGTTCGCTCCGTAGTCTATCCACTCGCGGGCTGACGGAGAGCGAGAACGGAACGTTCTGTTGTGAACCATCAAGGACAAGATTCTGCGTTTAGCATAATATTTTAACAGTGATCGCTGATTTTTTCCACAAAAAAAACAACAAAATCGGTGAGTCTATTTTATATATTTTACTAACGGTCCTAGTATATTTTATCTTAAATTTTGGCACTCATTTTTACACGAGAAGGGATCCCAGTCTTTGTTTCATTTGTATCATTTTACTGTCAGGCCAATATGACAGTCGTGTAGAAGTTGGTCACTGGCTATTTTTTATTTAAATTATTTGCCAATCATGGTAATTAAATAATTTCCAGTGTAACTAATAATACATATATAGGAATATATATGAAATTGCCAATTAAGATACAACAAATTACATTCAAGGTAGATGCGGCATATGCAACGTGCTTGTCATATACAATTTAAAATATTATAATTTATTTGTTCTTTGTTTTAACGTATTTTGTCAAAACACGTGGATAGTGACACAAGGGGAATTCCTAATAGGTCTGTGGTCAAACGCGAGCGCTTGAACTGAAGCCAACATGAGTGAAGTTTCCCGATGCGTTAGACGGTCAGAGTGTGTGTATTACATTAATAGTAGTCTCTGTACAAAATGTTAGTCAGTCTGGGTGTGCAAAGGTCTTCGAGCCGACAATGATAAAATCATTGAATTTTACAGTGTGTTTTCATTATTAAGATAAGATAGGATTTAACAACACCATAGTATAACATTACGACTACAGTCTAAATGCAACAACATTGGAATACATCAACAGTAACGCTGAATCATATTGTTGGAAAAAATAAACTTTAAAAATTGCCTATGAGTCATGTTTTTTTGAACAATCAGCTGTTTTCCGCATTGTCTTGTGTGTAACTAGAGGAGCGGTTATTTGAAACGTAGTTGAACACAATCGCGACAAGACATAATACGCTGCATTACAATTATTTAAACCAGCCTTTTAGAATTTTAGAGGGAATTATTTACTAGATGAACGCTACCATGTTTCATTGCGATGATGCAATAAAAATATGCCGAGTTGCGAAATCCAAAAGCGGCCTGAGTATGAATGAATGCGTGGGTGATGTTTCAAGCGAATGAATCCAACTTCATAGTAAGAAATTAATTCTACGTTAATTGTATGTGTTCATTCCAAACCAATATACGGTATGCAGAATTCTGGATTGTTAGCATAACCCTTAAAATTATCATAACCTTGGCCCTTTTATGTCAATGTGAAAGTGGTGGGGTGAAAGTTACATGACGGAAAAGCCAACAGCTTTTCATTCGCTCAATCGTGAGAAACGTTGCATGTTGTTTACGATATATGGTCTGTGTTAAGTCCCAGGTTCAAAGAAAATTAATGCGCCCTTTTAAAATTGACGAATATGTAGATATCATAACACACTTAATCCAAATAGCGGGAAACACTGACAATTATGTCGAGCTATCAAGCTATATAGACCGCCAGTCCTGTCTTTGTTGCGAGCATGATAATTTTTTGATCAGCTGTTGATTAATAATTCACGAGGCTTATAACCGGTTCATGCCTGTTTGTGACACACCCCTCAATGTATCCGTTCCATGGCAACAGCAGCGGTTTCTATTTCATCTAGGGTTGGGAAAAACAACTGCCTGATCAGCCAATCGGCATCGAGTGAATGCGAAAAAAGTCGTACGATGTACTTATAATATCCCCTTCAACGTCATCCATTGTTCCATGAATATTCTTATATATATATATATATATATATATATATATATATATATATATATATATATATATATATATATATATATATATATATATATATATATAATATTATCTAAAATAGAAAACCTTTTACTTTTATAAAATTGTGTTTTTGTTTTGTTTTTAATTTAATTTTCTATATATAACACATTTTACGGCGTCGACTATATGGACAAATAACTTGAAAGGAGTGTTAGATTTAACAACCAAGTTTTTATTTCAACAACGATGTTTTCCCTCTGATTCCACAATACAGATTTTTTGCGCGAAAGCTCTTTGTAATAATTTTGTTTTAATTGGCGGAAGTAAATCGCGTCATTGGGAAAAAAATCGACAAACAACCTCTTGAAGCATAACAGTCCACCATGTGACATACGTCCGTGGGTGGAAGATGAGAATTAAGTTCAATGTTCTCTTTGTCATGTGGTCGCGTGAAACCCACCCACACATTCGTCCGGCTTCTGAATCCTAAGAAAGTAAATTTGACTCTTCAGTCGATGGAATAAAAAGACCGGACCGTAGGATTGAATAAACCTAGAAACACGAATACGACCACATCGTGTTTAGCTTTGCTGTCTCGGTTTATAATCCATATTTAGTATTTTAAGTTTAACACAACCATGGATATTGGGACACCATGGTGCTAATGTGAACAAAGATATAAACCTAGGTTTTCATGCCCCTATTTTAACCGAAAATTACCACTGTCCGAATAGAAATACCGTTTATAGGCTGAGCTATAATATGGAGTTATAAAACAACCTGAGTAAGCAAAAACGCCTCTATTAGGTAGTTCGCCGAGTGACCCGCGATTTACAACCCTGTTTGGAAACGAGGTATTTAACACATTCAAACTTATTTTGTATAAATTAAGAGAGAATTTAGGTTGTAACAACGTGATTTCGTTCACCAATTTCGTAATTAACTTTGAGAGGATAAATTAACGTCAATGTCAAGGACACAGGACAAAGCGCTCCAAAAAGGCAAAACAGAAATAAAGATGAGCTTTCCGAAGATTTGTGAGTGCGTAATGTAAGAATAGTTTAACTTTGAATGTGGTATCCGAATCAACCAATTGAATATAAGTAATCTTTGTCCATGTTCAACGACCTTCTGATAAATTCAGTAGTTCCCGTCTGTGACATCATAAAACGTATGTTTTTATCTACTTTAACATTCAAAATAACAGTTGTGATTTACGCGTACAGTGTCCTGTATGGATGCGATTTGTAAATCTGGTCTCTGTAAATGTTTTACTTACTACATATATTATTACTTGAAAACGGAGCTTTTTGGTTTGACTTTCAGGTCGCGTGAATATCGCATGAATATTTAGTTTTGAATTATGTTTTTTTGGTATGCGTTTGTTTGATTTCGAACCTAAGTGGTCCCCATGGAGTAATTCAAACTTCGTAGATTGTGTTAAAGAAGACGCAAATAACACCATTTATACTGACTGGTCGCTGGGCTAAACCATATTTGGGGGATGGCCGTTTCGGAATGTACGTTCTGACACGCAGCCTGTAGACCTAAAGCCTCCCGGAAAGCGAAAAATAATCGTGACTTCAGACAACTCCCTGAAAAAAATCATTCAACTCTTTTACTTCCTGATAAAAACAAAACAATGCAAGTTTAAAGTATAGATGGAAACTACTGTAATAATCAACGGCAACACTGACAATATTATTTTCCATTTCAGTGAATATAAAATGGCACCAACATTGTTTATAGCACAGCAGAGAAGATATTGGTTGCTAATAACTAATGTTATTATAGAGAATCTTTTTTTCTCCGCTGTTCTTCTTGGGTGGAGTTCCCTGCTTCTGATATTGAGAGCTGAAAGATTCTATGCCTATTTGTGTGATGAAGGTAAGACTTATATATTATGTCGGCCCTGTAATAATGAATACTTTGCCAAATTGACTCATCTTGTACAGGACGTCTTGTTGGCCCTGTACTCTGTATTCCATGCAAGCTAATGTATGCTTGCCCCATGATCTGAATACAATGCAAGTTTCATTCATTCAGTGTACATTTTGTAGGTCATAGGCGACAAACTGCCTTCACATTAGTCAATGTCTTACCTGCCAAGCTCTCATTTAATGAAGAGAGACAATAATTGTCATGGTACATGCCTTGTGACTGTAGTGTTGCATTATGGGAAGCATATGTCTGACATTTGACCTTGCAAAATGACTTTGACTCTTTTTCTGATACTAAATAGTGCTGACATTGCAAACTTGACATTGTGGTCAATTATTAGGGTGTGTATGCATAATAAAAAGAATATACAATCTGTAACATCATGTCTGAGCACTTCATCTGTGTTAATGTTAAACAGATCCATTTAGATTAGAAAAGTTACCTATATCTGTATTTTTACAATTGATGTCTCATTGGTGTCGTGTGAATTTTCCGATATGCCGTGTGTACGGGTGCTATCTCCAGGCACTGTCTACATCAATGTATTTACTTAAAACTCTACCAAAAGAACTTTATTATTTGTTCTGACAGTGATAAAGTGATGAAGACTGAGATAACTGAGGATGTGTTGAAATGCACACATTTATCAGAATGCTATTATTTGTACAAATTAAATGATTCATGCAAAAAAACAAAAAAAAAACAGATAAGACTGAGCTGTCACTTTAAACTGACAGTACAATAGGAGAAAACTGACATCAGTGTCACAATGGTTACGAGGTTCTGGATCACTATTTTGAAGTAAATTGTCAAAAGATTTTATGCAGCGTCTAAAAAATGTATTATTATAATCTGAGATGAAGAAATACTATTGTAGTTTACATGCACATTATTGGCATCTTTGAGACAGTGATTATTACAAAATAAATAATTGTAATTATGTAATTTGTGGGAGTAATTGTGTAAATTATATTTCTGAGACAGTGATTATTACAAAATAAATAATTGTAATTATGTAATTTGTGGGAGTAATTGTGTAAATTATATTTCTGAGACAGTGATTATTACAAAATAAATAATTGTAATTATGTAATTTTTGGGAGTAATTGTGTAAATTATATTTCTACACAAATATATATTTGGTGGAACCATTGCCAGACTGCCACTGTAAGCCCCAACCGTTCTTCATTGGCACTATTTAAGAAGATAGTGTACTCCAGAGTCTTCCACTATGTGACCACAGGTGACACAGTTAATTGACCTCATCAATCTGTATGACATCACTCAACCTTATGAGATTACACTGTGGTTTTGTAGACATTGCTCATCCTTCATCCAAGCTACGTGCAACATACATTGATAACATATGTCATGTACTACCATTGATTCAACTTTTGACACTTTACCTGCACACCGATTAGAAGACAATCTTACATTAAAATAAATAATTCATAATTTTAAAAATATATCAATTTTACTTCTCCCTGAATTTCAATGCACATTTCACAAATTTAATAAAACCACATAAGAATTGACAACAGCTTATTTGTCCAGCTTGTTACCAGTCTGCTGATCACAGTAATGTTTTAATAGGTACCATATTAAAATCAGGATTCTAATTTGTCTACAGGGCTATTAGTGGGTGTCTGAGTCTTGTCATCTTGTTTCTTTGGAACAAATATTGCTTGAAATGTCAAAATTCAGTGAAATAAACCCAAACATTTTTTTTTAGATTTATCTGTTCCTTGTTAAAATCAAAGTTAACTTGGTCACTTTTTACAAAATGAAGTTATTTTTCCAAATTTAATTTTTAATATTATGATTGAAACTTGTAGGCAATGGAAAATTATTTGGTTTATATTAACAAAGAAATTATAGAAAAATACATAAGCATAGTGGTATTTGTTAAGAGGATTTGTACTGCAGCAGATGTTCCCTTTCAATTTTTGCTTATTAGGCAATTTTTCAATTTTTTCAACGTTTTAATAGCACATATTATTTCAAACAGAAAATACATATATAAATAAATATGATTTGGTAAAATGATTTTACTTGTAAATGTCAGTTATACCAATGTCATCCACAGAAATGTTGTTACAAAATATTAAATGTTTTGTAAGGTGTAATATGTGTGACCTTTGTTTGACATTGTGTGAGTGTAGTACATACTTCACTCAAGGCTAAAATAAAGGTGATAAAACTAGTGAGTTGCAATAGTACATCTGATGACTCGTGGTTGGTAGACGCACACAAAGTAAGGTCATTGAAAAAATAATATTGCACATCAAACAATTGCAAAAGTTGCAGGGAATTAAATTAGTAAAAAAATAGTAAAATATCATTGGTATGTTTTCTGAACTGTGACCTGTGTTCACACTGTCCATTGTAAAATAGCCATCATAAACTTATCTTATCACTTGTTACTTTATCAAAAGAGTCACCGCCGAGCCTTTATTATATAGGCTGATCATGGGTTGAAAAGTTGAAGACAAAATGTAGCTAATAAAACCTGCAATATGAGTAGAAACGCAAAATAGTGTATGAATTATGTCGGCCGCTACCAGGTACTGTATTTGCATATGCATGAGATCACGCCACATTCTTCATATATAAGCAAGATAAGCAAATGACATTGACAGCTGTGTTTAGTAGATTGCAGTGTTAGTAGGTTTACAAGTTACAGTTGTAATAATTGAAAATAAGTCAAAAAAACTCTTGCATGAAGTAACAAGGTAAACTAAAAACAACTTGTTTCCTTATTCATATAATTAAAGGATTTATGTAAACATAACATGAATGAGGAAAAGTTCAATGGAGGATGTGTTTTACGCTGATGGCAACCAAAAACTATACTTCCCATACTTTGTACTTGAAACAACAAATTTACAGAGAAACGTTAATAAAATATAGCTATACCTTATAAGATTACTATAATCCTAAGATAATATGTCTTGCCAATGTTATCAAACTTGTATAATACAATTGATTACTTTGAGTAGTATGTCCATACAACTTTGGAATGTGAGGCAGTGTTATCAGCATGGATGGGACGGCGGTACAATGAATGTGGTTTATTATCAACAGGTGTTCACTGGAACTAAGATACATATCGATTTACATACATCATCATCTGATGCATTCTCCTTCCCAGAGTTCCTTGCGGTTAGATCACCGAAAGTATCTCTGCCACCACACACCGCCATTTTGTGGTGAAACACCACAAGACTTTTACTACGCGTATCATTTGCGTATTTTTGTTATTAGAGGGCTCTCGTGTTGATTTCTTCATCCTAGTAAACAAGTTTTAAAATATGTTATCGATTGCTGATAATGATTTTTTCGTAAACATACTGAAAACGGTGAATTAGTTATATAATTTACAAAAGAAAATAATTTCATCGCGGAATAACGGTTACTAAGGTGTTACTCGGTTCATCAAAGTGACCGCCTTGTCGATTGCCAGACGAAGAAATATAAAGAAACGATTGCACGTAGGGGTATTAACGAGTAAATCGTCCTACTGTCACACCGTTTGTGTTACGGAAAGTAAAAAAATGAGACTCTCACTTTAAAAACAGCCAGAATCTACAAACAACGCGTACGCTTTCGTTTGGTTCGAAAATCGAACACTTGCGTGGCAATGTTTTGTTGGGCGTCTTTGAAAGTAGTGCCACTGTGACGCATCGATAAATCAACGACAAGCATAAGATCGCGTGGTGGCAGAGATATATTCGTGGAATAGAACTCTGCCTGGGAGATTGCATCTGATGTACACAATCATTTTAAATATCAGGATCTTATTTCACTTTAAACAAAAACAAGATTAAAGGCAAAAGAATATTTGTGTCAGTGAACTTGGTAGATATCTGATTTCTTTAAAACAGAAAAACCTTGACATATATAAAGATTTTTTTTCTCATGATTGGAGTGATTTAATCAGCTCAAAAAGTTATCTATATGTATATACATTTATAGCAAATATCATTTTTTGGGGGGCTTTGTGACATTCTTGGATGAGTATCTTTGTCATTACTAAATATTCAGTTTAAACTAATACATCATACTGTGAACTCTAATGAGACCACCTAGCAATCTGTACCATTGTAAACTTTGAAGACCCCTATCTTAATGATAATACAGCAGACAACCAAATGCACGACAAATACTGGTACTTTAAGTCATATTGCATTTTTTTATTTGTTTGTTTTCTCAAACAGAACTGAACACACAGAATGGTACTTGGTCGGAATTCACATACAACCCCAACGAAACAGACTTTGACAATGTGACCTACAGACTTTATCCCACATCCAATGAAACAGTCCTTAATAGTAATTTGAATGAGATGGGAACATGTTCAGCGCAGGAAACGCAACTCAATCTGGCCTTCACAGTTGGTTCCTTCCTTCTTAGTGGAATGACATTTCCTATAGGAATGGCCATGGACAAGTTTGGTTCTAGAATTCTCCGTATGATTGGCTGGTAGGTGCAGTTTTCAAAATTGTTGGTAACTTTAATTTTTTTCTAAATGAGAACAATATTACAGTATCAGTGTACAGATGCATATAGGCAGAATATCAACAAAAGAAGTCATCATAGCAATAACGTGATATTGAACTAAATGGCATGATTTTTTTTTATTCAGTCCTGCATGTTAATTGTTTGCACTCTTACCTGTCTATATCGTCTTTTCCACTTGCAGTCTGTTGTATGGCTCAGGATGTCTTATCCTAGCTTTCTCCAGTTCATCCACCTCTTGGCTCCTTTTCCCAGCCGTCTCACTACTCGGTATTGGCGGCATTTGCACAATTTTCACCTCTTTCCAGGTATGGGTCTCCAGCATGCACCCATGCACTTATAATGCACTCACATTAATGCACTCACATAATGCACTCACATAATGCACATGCATATAGTGCACTCCCATAAACTTGCCTGACAACGTCTTGCAAAATTTGCATTTATCTTGTGTCTGTAACCTTGACAACCATATGTGGTTTGTAATGCACAACGCATGTTCCATTCCTGAATTCTCCTCTTCATTAACCTTCTCATTTTCATTTCACATCCCCATGGTTACAACTGGTTACATTAAGCATATTCATATTTTTTGTATTTTCAGTTTCTTTTTTTGTGCATCAGCTTTGATATTAGCATTTGCAAATCCTGACACTACATCGGTGCTGCTATTTCCAGCTGTGGCATTGAATGGCATTGGTGGCATAACTTTAGTATTTACATCGTTACAGGTATAATAATGCTGATCATCTTTTTAAATTTTCTTATTAAAACAATGAGATGGAAAATAAATGCATATTAAAGGGACACTCTACATTATCTGTGTGTTTGAGGCTCACCAATGTTCACCTAGTTGAGTGCATTTATAGACAAGCTAGTAAATACCAACAGTTCAATGTGATAATGATGACTACATTGCATATTCAGCACAAATTGATTGCTGTCTAACTCAACCAAGAAAAGACTATATTCCTTTAAAGTGCTTCTTCATACTTCTCCATCATGTCATGCTTGTTTGGTTGCTATGTAACCTTGGTATTTCTTCTTGTGACTTTATCAATATCTGCAAAACAATACAATACAGAGCAGATTATTGTGATAAATATAACTTTCTCAAGCAAATGGTATTTTTTTCATTATTATACACATTATTTTGAAGAAAACCTGTCAAGACCAACATTAAAATTAGGAATAATAGTAAAAATACTGAAAAATTAATTGACAAATGTTTTTTGCTAAATTTGATAAGATGACACAATTGACGGTTTCTAATCACCAAAATGGTGGCATGTCTTCTGTCTTGTGATTGGCTCAGTGAAAATGTGAATGCTGAAACTAATGTTTACTCAATATATGCACTGTAAGATAGAACACCTCAATTTTTTCAGCCAAATTGTTGGTGTAACATTTTGTATATATCGTTTAACTTTGTATGAAATGGAAATAATCTTCCATTGTCTATGAAGCTGTGTTAACAATATATCCCTGGCAAACATTCCAAATTAGATTTACAGCGTCTCTGTCAGTTTGAACACATTTACCCAAGTAACAAAGTCTTGAAGGATAAACGGTTTCAAAACATTTCACATGATAACAATATCTTCAGAAGTAGTTATGATTTTAGCTATGTTGTACTGTTACCACTTGTCATGCGCTAACACACTACTTGATTCCGTATTCTTAGGTTTCCAATTTATTTGGACACAAGAGATCAACTGTCATCAGTCTATGTATTGGCTCATATGCATCATCTGCCATTCTCTTCCCTATCTTGAAGGTATGTATATTGAAAGTATTACAGGGAGAAATGTAGCCAGTTCCCTATAACAAATGCTTTGTTAACACATTGTATTTCTTCACAAAATGTCAGTGAAGACTGCCCTCACTGGTGACAATTTGTTTATGTTGTCGAGTATGGTTATTATTTAGTCAGCATAAAACCAAATAAACAAAGTTTATAATTTTTATTTTTATTATTTAATTTTTCATGACAAGAAGTTTAATTTATTTTTTCTCATTTTTCAGGCTCTTTATGATCTGGGTGTCTCCAGGCAGAATATGTTCGTTGGGCTTGCAATAGGATGCTGTATTGTTTGGTTGAACTGTTTCTTAAATGTACCCAGTGAAGCTATTCCTGATCCTGATGATGAAAGTTTTGGGTAAGAGTCCTAGCCCACAAGCTTTCTGATGTCTCCCAGATTTCTACAATCAACACATTTTCATTGGCATGATTTGATTGGTTAATTGAAACAGTCATTGTAAAAATATGATTGTATGATTATGATATGATTTGAAGTGTATTAATAAAGTGAGCATTTGAGGAGACCAAGGCAATTGATTCTTGGGTATACAAGAATCTACTATGCAGCCATAAGTTAAATTTCAATCCATATCAAAATACATTATTCAAAAAATAATTTTCTTGGATAATCTGTATAATTGAGTGTTAGGTTATAGTGTTGACGATCAAATCTCTTATAATCAATGAATCATTCTCTTTCAGAATTCATTGGAACATCTTAAAGCTGGACAATAAAGTCTCTGGTCAGCATTTCTACCGACGAGTCTCTAACGTTGGTCGTAGGTTAAGTACAGGCGAGGTACTTAAGCAAGGAGACATGTATGGATCAAAGTAAGTTATCATCATGCCACTTGTACTTGCTTGGATAGTAATAAAAAACAGGAAAAAAACTTTGTTCAGAAATCAACATCAAAAATCAAGATATTCATTTGTCTTTGACCATTAGAAAAATTATTGGAGATGGCAGAAACATTATGCAAATTCTTGTTCCCTTCATTTTGAGCTAGACTTATTTTTCAGGGTGATGTTGAACTAAATTTTAGTTTGCAAGTTTCTCTGAAGATTTTGTTTTCTCAAATTTGATGCAGATTCTTTTTTTCTTCAAAATACCAGACCCCTTGGATTTGTAATTGTCTAGAGTGAGAATCTGACAAGAAGATAACATCATGTTATGTTTTTTTTTATTTACAGAATGAACCTTGAACTAAAAATGAAGCGAGGCTCTGACCCAACCTTCTGCCAGTCCATCTTTAGTCCTATATTCCTATGGAGCTTAGTTGTTATGTGTATCACTCAGCTACGTCTTCTCTTTTTTATCGGCTCTTTCAGTCAAATGGTGGAGGGAATGACTGATGATGATCCAAATAGTGGTAGGTCTGCCGAACATTCACATCAACACAATTCCCAAATATTTACATAATCAGTTGGGCAAACCCTCTGCACTTAAGTAAGCAAATTTGGCTTAGTGACCAAAATTTTAGTATATTATTAAACCATCAAACAAAAGTGTGTGATGAGAAGCATAAGCTATTTGTTGCCTTAAAAGAAATAAATTAAGTGAATGGTGGGAAATTATTGGTTGGTCGAAGATTGTGTTCAGAAAAAATGTCTTTGTCAAGTAAAGTGATTGATGTTATTTTCAATTCACAGTTGAACTATATGCGGCCATCTTTGGTTTTCTTCAACTGTTGTGTCTCTGTACTTGCCCACTAATTGGGCTCATTATGGACTGGAAAACAAAGGCAAAACCACAAACTGAAGACGTTGAAGAAGCTAAACCAGCCGAAGAAGATGCCAACTCGGAAAACATCTCATTGTCAGAACGATCTGAAGATTCTGATAAAACTGCACGGTCTTCAAAATCACTGAAGTCTAAAAGTTCTGGCAGCTCCACTGATAGCATTGGAAAGAAGAAACGCACCGATGTGAAGATACAAAAACTACGCAATGGTGTTGTTGCATTTACCATTACTAATACTGCCTGTGTCTTCTTTGGAATCCTGGTGCTTATTCCAATATTAGAACTTCAGGTAAGCATGCACCTACCCACCCCAGTCTATATAATGGTATAGCCCATGAGATGCAGTAAAAAAGTTTTGGCTGTTATTTGCCATTCAGTGAATGTAGAATCTCCCCTGTGAACATAATGGTATAACCAATGAGACACAGAAAAAAGGCTTTGGCTTGGTATAGCCCATGCATCGAAGAGAAATTATTAAAATTTCTATGTTTTCTTTCAGATTTTTACATTTGTGCTGCATACAATTATTAGAGGTTTCATCCATTCAGCCGTCTGTTCATTATATGCCCTGCAGTAAGTACATATTACACAACACATTGTAAGAAACATTTCTTGTAGTTATTGATATCAATTTTGAAAAAATTAAAATTAAATAGAGAAATTAATTGTCTTTGAGCGGAGTTTGATTTTCTCATATTTTTGGTTTGTTCCAGGTACCCAGCTAATCAACAAGGAGGTCTGATTGGTTTGCAGTCATTGATTTCTGCTATGTTTGCACTTTTACAATACCCAGTTTTCGTAGCAATAGAAGGGCCACTCAACCAAGATCCATTTTATGTAAGTTATTTTTCTATAATACTATTATATGTATATGTCATAGGACTACCACTTGAGGGCAGTATACTACACAGTTTCAGCATTCTTACCAAATTTTTAGCTCCACTGTCAACTTTGTCAAGCGGAGCTTATCATATGAGTGATTGTCCGTCGTCGTCCATCATCCGTGTCAACGTTACTTATTCAACTTCTTCTTGAAAACTACAATTCTTAATACTTTGATACTATATGTACCTTGGCAAACCTCTCTAAGATTTGTTCATTTCTAGATGATATCTTTCAATCTCTAATTTTGGTAAATAATTTTTTCATTTTTGGTAAAAAGTGATATTTTCGACTTCTTGTTAAACACTGCAAGTCTGATTGATTTGATATTATACATACAGGTACTGCAAGTGGACCCCTCTCAGATTTGTTCATTTTGTGATGATATCTTCAGTTCTTTAATTGAAATGTGCATTGCTAACAGCAGAGCTATCTCAGTCGAGAGGCTGCTTGTTAACAAATATTTTTGTTAGAGGAATTTAAATTCATATACTGTAACCAGGGTTGATGTATCCACTAGTTTATCATGTTAAGACAGTTGATAGAATTGTAAATAAAGCCGTGGTTATTTGTGTATTTGCGTAAAAACATCAAGCAATACTTAAGTTGGATTGAAAGGTTCCTGAGAATTAGTGAAGAATATAAAATGAAAATTTCTGTTGAAACCATTAAAAACTTGACATCATTAGCACACACCATTTACAGTACAGTAACTATGCATGCACTTAGTATTGCAAAACTGTGCTCTGCTGAAGCAGTGGGCTTATTTTGCCAGGTTGCTTTTTATTATTTTCTTTCAATCAATTTATCTGTTACACTTTCAGGTGAACATTGTGATGTTGGGAGTGTCATTTATCAGCTTTGGTTTACCAATCTACCTATACTGGTACAGTAAAAAAGTGGAAAAAGAATTGAAAGCAAAGCGTGCTCTTCATACAGTTGACTCAGAACCACTTTTTCTTACTAGTCGACCGAGCAGAGTGGCGCTGCTGACCGAGAAAAACCAACCAGTTGCCATATAAAAGACAAAAACAAATCTAACTGTTTAGAGCTGATAAGAACAGTTGACTTGATAGCTGAACAGTCTCTGATGCATGCTGGGTAACAGACAGAGGGTCAAGTAAGGAAGTAAAGAACAATCTGTGAACACGGCGAGCAAAAAGGATAATTAGCTGATAATGGAGCAAAATGCATTTACATGGGGAGGGGGTTATATAAAAGGGGGAGGGGCATGGATTTACAGACATACTGCTAAATATACTATATATATTTATTATTTACAATATTCTAATGTGGAATGTATTGCTGTATTGTTGAAAAGTCTGTTACTGAAACGCTAACGTGCTGATGAAAATGTTAAACTTAAGTATTCAAATACATTATTTATATGCATCAGTATTTGATATAGGGAATGGTACTATCACTGTGTTTCACAGCTGCACTCAGAGATATCAATTTAAACATGCTTTATAAGTAAGATTTCTGCTTGTTGTGATTTAACTTAAAAGTTGAAATATGTTTTAACATTCATAGAGAAGTTGATTGAAATAGAAAATATTTATGAAAGTCAAAATGTCATTGTTTCTAGTTTATTATTACAGCTAGATCTTTGAGAGTCTGATTGTCACTTTTAATAGCATAAATACTGTCCTGAAAGAGATACTTTTGTTTCCGCCACCCCAAATCCTGACACTAACCCTACCTCTACTGTCCAGCACTTCCCAATTTAATTGTATATTCCCTTTCGAAGGACACCTATATTTATCTAGAGGGGCATATAAAATTGAATTGGGGGGGGGGGTGAGGATTAGAGTTAGGATTAGGGGTGGAGTGGGGTACAAAAAAAATGCTTTCCTATAGTCTTTTGTATTTATTGAACTTGTGATAAAAGACAAATTGGCACAAAATGGTTAACAATCTGCCAGTTGAGAATACCGGCTAGTTGCTGATGTGAAACATTAGAATGTACTCTCCCAATATGACTTGTACAAGAGAGTTATGCATTTAAAGAGACAGGCACTGAAATATATCGACCCGTGAAGTGGTTGCAATATGATTAGTTAAATATTATATTATGTTATGAAATATGTTAATACCATATTATAATGTGTAATACTATGATGTAGCCAATGTATCTGAATGCAGATTCCAGGGACCATAAATGTAAATAAGGACAGTGTAATTAACAATTGTTTTTTTGGAAATGGGTAAATGCAATATATATGTGTATTATGTAGATTAATGAAGAAAACGTTGCCATATGGCATAGAACTGAGTCAGTAGTACGTCATTATCATGACCATGCCGATATAATATCGGGATATGTTACTTCCGCAGTCACTTACTTTGCTATACTTCAATTTAACCGCATTTGTTCTACCATGAATAATTCACACTCACCTTCACTAAAACAGCAGTAATGGCTCAGGGTTAAAGTTCAACATTAAATTTTTGACCTGCTTATTCCATAATTTGTTGTTGTTAGCTATATTAAGCTCATTATGTTTTAAAACTAAGTTTAATATGCTTTGTAGGATTTATGTTTTTAGATTGTTATTTTCAGTCCAGTGACAATTTCTGAAAGATCGCTCTCTCTTAGTAAAAAGGGAATTATTAAAGAGCATCCTCAACACTGATACCTCACTGAAAGCTTAGTTGCCATAGTGACAGTGTTGTTTAATATGTTTCTCTAGCATATATTTTCTTTTTGTCTTTTGTAAAAACAGGCATTTCTATTTTAGTGAACTAAAAAATATTTTGAAAGATACACCTAATGAAGGCTGTCTCGTAGTAGTTTATATATTCACATGTGAGTGTGAGAGTGAGAAGATGAATCTACAAACTATTCACATGTGAGTGTGAGAGTGAGAAGATGAATCTACAAACTATTCACATGTGAGTGTGAGAGTGAGAAGATGAATCTACAAACTATTCACATGTGAGTGTGAGAGTGAGAAGATGAATCTACAAACTATTCACATGTGAGTGTGAGAGTGAGAAGGTGAATCTACAAACTATTCACATGTGAGTGTGAGAGTGAGAAGGTGAATCTACAAACTATTCACATGTGAGTGTGAGAGTGAGAAGATGAATCTACAAACTATTCACGTGTGAGAGTGAGAAGATGAATCTACAAATTATTCACATGTGAGTGTGAGAGTGAGAAGATGAATCTACAAACTATTCACATGTGAGTGTGAGAGTGAGAAGGTGAATCTACAAACTATTCACAGTTGAAAAACACAGACACAAATCAAACAATAATTACATACACTTTTTCAAGTCTTGGCCTTCAAATTTGCATTTCCACTTTATATGTTCTGCAAAAAAGCTTTCGCTGACCCCGACATCCTAAGCACTTTGGGGTTTGAATGATTCATGATAAATTTTATCCAACACAATCCTGAAATCTGATTTAGGAGTGCACCCTAAAATTGGGTGAAGTGGTCTTAAGTGGTTAAAAAAATTAATTAAAAATTAATTCAATGATTGGATAACATGACCTTCATTACTGATATTTTACCCTGTCATTCTGTCTGTGAACTTGATATTCTGAGATAATTTGCATATTAATTAGTCTTCACTTGTCAATGATGTAAACTTGTAAATGGATGCTCTCGGACAATTCACAGACCTGCTCAGTCTTGGTTTGAAATCTACTCTTATTAATTTGCATAATAATTGATAAATAGATAAACTTTATACATAGATTGTAATAATAATAATAATGTTTATTTCCAAAGTACCAAAGGCCGCTGGCCCTAAGTACACTCAAAGATACATCACTAGTATATGTGGTCACAGGTTACACATGGTAAAGATTAAACAAAGATTAAATACAATAGTTAGATATCATTAAGAATTGCTTCCTCTAACAACGTTTCTCTATTAAGAAAAGAATAAAATAAATATTTAGCACAATATCTAACAGTTTGTGGATTTTTGTTGGTCATTAGGTTAATGAACTGGTGTTGTAGGCGGGGCTGCTTAGTGTATATGTTTGGAATATAGCGCTGCCTCAGCTCGTCGTAGGCGGGACAGAGAAGTAAAAAATGAAACTCATCTTCAACCCCACTACGACAAAAGTGGACAGATCCTGTTTGGTCTCAGTATGTTTAGGTGGCGTCCTTTTTCAATCATTAGACTATGTGATGATGTTCTGAATTTTAACATAGCAAGTCGAAAAGCTGTTTTCATTTCAATTACAAGATACGATTCTAGTTCCAGGTTACGTTTATATAGTTTATATGAAGATAATCTACAACACCACACCATTTTTGGAGATCTATGTCAAAACACCGCTGACGAAA